AAAGTAGAGCAGAGAATAAGTGTAGCAGAGATGAGAATGCTTAGTTGGATGAGTGGAGTGACTAGAGAAGATAGGATAAGGAACGAGCATATAAGAGGAAGTATAGGTGTTGCGTCAATCGTGGATAAGATGACAGAAAATAGACTTAGATTGTTTAGTCATGGTATGAGGAAAGAAGAATCGAAAGCTGTAAGAACAGTTATAGAAATGAATGTTGAAGGAAGAAGAGATAGAGGAAGACCAAAAAAGAGATGGAGGGATGCTATTGAATGCGATTTGAGGACAGCTGATGTGAGCGTAGAAGATGTGGGAGATCGTGTCAAGTGGAATCTTAGGATAAGGGTGGCCGGCCCCAAGTAGTTGGGATTAAGGCAAAGAAAAAGAAAAAGATTACCAGAAATTCCGGTGGCAATTGACATAATATGATTACTGTTTGGGAATGTACAATTGGCTACGATTGGCCTAGATGTCAATTTTAAACTTGTAATTGAGTTAAAAGTTATGGTAATATATTTAATTTTTATTACTTTAAACTTTCATAAATCTTTATCAAAAATTTTTCATCAACTTTAAAGAACCAAACAAATATGTTAAAATTGAAAATTTGGACTGATTATTTTTAACATATTAAAAATCAAAACAGTAATAATTTGAAAACAAATTTTTTTTTTCTTTTAATTATTATTTTATATATAATTAGTAATAATATTAAAAATTAGAAGTGATAGAAAAAGTCTAATTGCAGATTTGAAAACAACGCGAAAAGTTGATTTATAAAATGATAGGTAAATATCTAAGGTATCTATAAAAAAAATAATTATATTGATTTGGTCATTTTAAAAAAAGTTATGGCAATTTTAAGTAAAAAAACGGTAGCACAGTGGGGTCGTGGCATAGTGGAGACATTGCATAGTAGGGTCCAGTATAGATTTAATCTGACAGTGATTAAAATCACTATCATAAGAAACGCTTCGATGCAAATCTGTAGATAGTGTTTAATTTTAAAAAATTGATGGATAATTGCAAAAGCAACATCAACTTCTATTAAAATAAAATACAAAACCCATAATTATCATACAAAAATAGTATATTTTTCAATATGGTA